ATGTTCTCTGATGAGAGGTCGAGCACATTCCACGTTGTCTGCAAGTTGCATCACTTGTGTGGTGTTTAATTCTCTTTTGTGGATTATAAATGTGAATATGTATTTTCCTTGTGGTTTTCAATGATTTATTCAAGTTTTATGACTACAATAATAAAAACAATAAATCATAATATCTCGATTTATTGAGATCAGTTACATTGATAGTTTGTCTTTATTAAATTCTATAAAAATAAGATTTATTTATATTTTCTAATAAAATTTTCTTATCTTTCTACTTCTTCTTATACTATTAGTGCTAATTATTGTCTCCTTACTGTATGTCTTTATCATATCAAACATTTTCTCTAACTTGATTCTAAAATTACATCTAGTGGTTTATGAAAAAAATGTATATTTTTATTGTATGACTATAGAACCTAAAAATAAATAAATGAGTGGATTTACACTTTGATGGATTATAAGTCATTGGTCCATATCACATTAAACATTTTTCTCTTATTTGATTCTCTATTGTAATTACATATGATTGTATGACTATCGAATCTAAAAATAAGTAAATTTACACTTGGATGGATTTTAAATCATGGAGGTAGGTTGTAAATATTATCTCCTTAGATTTTTGTACTTTATTCTCGATTGAAATTGCATATGATTGATTGTTCATGAAGAAAATTTCTTCTTATTTTATGACTATATAACCTAAAAATAAGTAGATAAATGGATTATAAATCATTGGGGGTAGCTTGCATGTGTAAAATTGCACATGCATTGAAGAAGAGAGACGCAGTGAGGTAGCTCGCCATTTGCATGTTAGCTAAGAGTTACTATGTTTCATGTGGCTATTGCACGGTAGAAATGTGGTGTCGAAGAGAATGACTTTAAAAAGATGGACATGCTATAATTAGTCCGATTTAATTGACCATCAATTGTTGTGTTGTAGGGAATTTCAGTAAATTTCACCATTTTCCGCATGTGTATTATTTTTTCATGAAAAAATAAATTTATATTTTTATCTTTAAAAATGAATACACCTTTGCTTTTAAGACTCATCTGCCTAATATTCCTTCCCTCGGTAGGGAAGGATCCTCCAATACTTTTTATTATTCGAGAAAAGTCTCCACTAACTCATTTTATCTGAGAATTTACTGAGGGATTTAAAAAAAATTAATTAATTTTACCCTCCACTTTTTTCTGTAAAATTTCTTAAATCAGTTCAAATCAGGAAACTAGTTTAGATCAACTGCGAGGCTTCCCTTTGTCATCCTTTTCGTCTTCTTTGTTCGTACAGAGTGATGATAGAGAAAAAGAATAAATAAATAAATAAAACTGAACTATTTCGGATTAATTTGATTCACTCCTTATTTATAAAATCATATAACAAACTTGAAAGGTCAAAAGTATCGTCTGTTTCTTTTATCAAAATAAGAGTGTTTTAAAGAAATTCTTAATAAGGACATCATTTTTTTAGGATAAATTATCTTTTTTTATATGTTACAAAACAAGAAAACAATGTAAAGAAAAAAAAAGAAAAAAAGAACACACACCGTTCCAAATGGAAATACGAGACACGCCTATGAATCAAGGAGTACAAGTACCGCAATAACACTACTATTGGTCAAATTTGGATTTGACACAAGTAATCACCGTCACAATGTCATGTTGCCCGGTTTGGAAACCATCACGAGCTTGTGCTTAATTTCTCCGAATGACGCCACATAAAGATGACCAATTATAGTAGGGTTGGGAGTTTAAGTCCAGTTGTGCCTAAAATTGGATGACCTCGTGTACCGTCGCGTTGACTTGGTAAACCAAAGTACATTTATGCTACGGTAGATTTATACCTTTATGGTTGAATCATGATGATAGCATCCGTGAGTCTCCAGAGATGCACACAAAGTCACCGCACGTAATTTTCCTCACGTCTCGTCTTTGGACTAATGAACCAGCCGTCACAAAGTAGAAAATTCACGTCCTAAGATGGGACCGGAAATTGAGATGTGCACTTGTCCCATCTTTCGTTCTTATGTCAAGTCAAAGTTAGAAAATGAACGATGTCTATCTTGTCGGTTCATCTATTCAATCATGTAAACCGGAATTTTTTTGTGTGCGTTTGAATCCTATAAATTCATGCATAATAATAATAATAATTATTATTTTTTAATCTTATGATACGATACATTTACTGTCTAACTGGAATTTCGAGGTTAGAATATGATGATAACATGAGCCGCTATATAAATCAGAGTAAAAATTATTATTTAAATTATTTCTGAGGAATAATTTTCTTATAAATAAGGATTTCTCTGCATTTAAAATAAACCTCTCTGAGTCTGAGAATTTTTAGCTCATCCATCTTTTACCATTTATTTTAAAAATTATTAATTTGAGAATCATATGATCTTGTCGAGCACGCATCAACAAAAGATTTAAAAGAAACACTAATTGTCCGATCGAGAATCGAAATAATCATTGGAGTCCGATGAAATGATATCGTCGAGAAATCATTTGAAGAGCTCCTTTTGAAATTTCCCAACTAACTAATGCTCGCATTAGGATTCAGAATCTCATCTCCAGATTCAACTAATAATTTAGGATCTTGAGCACGATGGTATTCAAATAAGTTAACTCAATAAATAATCAATACATTAGATTGACCATTAAATTTGACACCAATAAAATTAAATTCCAACCATAGGAAACTCTAGGATGTGACATGGGGCTCCGTGAACAATAGTACATGAGCGTAACTGGTAAGTCTCATATTTGAATTAATTTAACATAATATTTATGAAAAATCAATCTTAAAAACTAGTATCAATTAATTCCAATTCATATCAGTCATGGATTTGGAGAACCGGGATGGACACAAAGATGGTAAGCACGTAACTAATGCCTCCCCCTCGCCGCCTCGCTTTTTATTACTCTTGTTTTGCTTCGGTCAACAAATTTCCTTTCCTTGTATTAATTAATTAACACGAGACTTCATCGATCTCACTTTCCTGCCGACTGTATACATGTCGAGGCAATGAGCCCACGTCGACTCTACGCTGACCTGTCACTATCCGACTCACGAATCAATTAACGATTGGTAGCTGATCGGTTACAAAATCAGCTATCATGGTTTAGGTTTTTATAAATTTTAAACGGAAATCAAATCGGTTGAGATGGTTTCGATTCTCGATTTTAGTTTCAGTTTTAATTTATTGACGTCGATTCCATCAAATTTGGAACCAAAATTAACTCGATTCTAATTTTGAAACAGAACCATCTATTTTATTTTTTTACATTTTTTTAAAAATATTTCTTTAATCTTTTATTACGCTATTGGAAGGAGGCACATTACACCAAGGTTCTGATTACAGTTTAGGAATAGACACATCAAGTTTTGATTCTGATTTAAAAACTAACGATTCTTGACTTTAGAATCCAAATCGAACCAGTTGAAGTGGTTCCAATTTCGAATCAAAATCATAAACTTTAATTTTTATTTTTGATATTTTAAAATATCTTTTCGATTAATCATTTATTAACTATTGAAATAGATAAATTAGAGATATTTGATTATTTATTTTTTTATGATCAATTTAGAATGACACAATAATCAAATTATTGATCCAATTTGATTTGTTCTATTTTTTGTTGATTTTATACTCTAATTTGGTACATTTTCATTTTAATTCTATAATCAAGTATAACACCATTTATTTTACGAGTACAAAACTATAAAATTTGTCCAACTTATTGAAACTCAGTTACCATATTTATTTATCTATTTTTGATTATTTTAGAGAATTTTCTAAATCTAATTTGATGGAAAAATGAATCAGTTCAGTTCATTTAGACGCGGAATTGAACAAATTGAGCCGCGCAGGTAAATTTAAAGGGGAAAAACAAAAACAAAAAACGAATGCTCAAAGATAAAGAGCCAATTATGGACGGCTTGTTTCATGTAAATTGCCCACATTTGTCCGTATGACATAAATGATGAGAAACCAAAATGCCTCTTCTAACGAGTTGCTTAAGGGTGAAGCAAAGTCATTAAAGAGGCAAAAAGGGCATAACCCCACGAGTCTGCCCATCGCCCTTTTCCGTCCCCTTCTTTATCCTCTTGGAAGCAAGTTGAGAACCGGCTCAATATTCTATTCCATAGGATTTGGTTTTTGGTGTCCGACCGGTGCCGCAAGGTACCACTGGTGGGCGTCGTGGTGATGGATTCGATCGACCCAATTCGTGTCAACCAATTGGATCGGTGAAACGTGCAAGTCCGACGATGCGCTGCTACGAGGGCCAATGAGAACTCGTTGTCTTGGCTAAGATACATGGTGGATACGCCCCCTTTCTACGTAGTCCGTTTGGGGTTTCCGCCCAATCGAGCAATCCTTTCCGATCTTTCTTTATCGACGGGGTGAGTTTTGTAAGAATATTAATTTAAAATTTTAATTAGAATATATTTCTTTTTTTTTAATATCTCTTATTTATTATTATTTTTTAAAAGATTTCTAATGATATAATAGAATGAGCTGATTATATAGTGAATCGATTACTATTGTGTTACGGGACGATCAAATCCTTCGTGTATAAAGCTTATCATTATGATGTTTTTAAATATGTTTTGTAAGTCCAATTCGTATCGATGGATTCAAAGCTAGATTCATATAAAAAATAAGTTATAAATAGATATTTTTATTAATTTAAAAATAAAAAAAATCAAATAATGACCTTCTGTATATTAATTACTCTTTTTGAAGAATAATATAAATTTATTTAAAAAATATTGTAACTGAAGTTCATGCATAAATCTATTTCAAGGATTATGAGATGTGTTTGAGAAATCTATAAAAATGCTTTCAAAAAAATAAAAAAAAAATCCGAGAATTTTGAGAAATTTTACAATTAAGACGCAATTCTCGAATGAGTGTGATGATATTTTGGAGCGGGAGGAGGCCACACCCGACGGGACCAACCTCGTCAACATTTAGGCAGCCGACACGAGTTGTTGAAACACCACGACTTTAACGGCACGTTTGCGCGAGCGTCGGCGCCGTTTCTTCCATCGTCATCTCGCACATTAAAAGCCGTTTTCTACCCCCTCCGCCTCCTCTGTCCCTGCCTCCTCTCACCGAGTTAGAGCCTGCCTTGTTACTACTAGCAGGGGGTAGAGAGAGAGAGAGAGAGAGAGAGCGAGCGAGCGAGCGAGCGAGGACGCATAGGTATGGGGTCTTTGGAGATTCGGGTCTCCTCCAGAGAGGGTTCTAGCGACTGCGGCGGTACCGGGAGGGTGTCGGCGGCGGAGCTGCAGGGGATCATGGACCGGATCAGATCCAGGGTGGAGGAGCATAAGGTACAGGCAGCTATGGACATCCGGAGGCTCACCAAGACGTCGTCCAGGAACCGACGGCACCTCTCCCCCGCCGTCGAACCCCTCGTGTCGATGCTTCGGTCCAGGAGCTCCGAGTCCCACGAGGCCGCCATCCTCGCTCTCCTCAATCTTGCCGTTAAAGATGAAAGGTGCGTTCTGTGGTCTTTCCTCGGGACAAAAACCCCTTCTTTTTTTTTATGTCCGATCACCATGTATGCTTCATTATCCGTAGCAGTTCTCTTGGTGATTTGTTGTTTCAGCTTCTAGGGCTCCCGATTTAGGTCACTTAAAGATGCAGGAGAAGACTTTACCTCCTCCTTGCTGTTGTCACGTTGTTTTGTCTTTATTGGTTTCACTGCTTTTGTGAGATGAGAGATTGGTAGCTCAAAGGAAGCTTTTTTCTTTTAGAAAGAGCCACTTCGACAAAATTGATTGTATGGTTGCAAATTAAGATCATGGCTTTTACATGTAAAGCTCTTTCGAAGAATTAGTCAGAATTAATTCAAACAACTATCGGGAAACAACATAAACTAATTTTACTGGGAGGAGTTTAATGTCTCGTGGTCAATTCCTTACTTTTGGCTCAGGAGAAGTCTGATTTAAGTCAGTTTTCCATTCAGTTATACGTTACAGTTTAAACTCACAGCATATTGAACTTTGCTTCTCCTAAGGAACAAGTACTTTGCAGAAACCGCAAAGTGAGTTTGGTAATATCTAAGAACAATCGAAGGTATGATCACAAAAGTAGAAGTTTAAGGTTAGCACGATGAAGATGCTGAGATGCATAGGTGTGGTTATTGAAAAGACAGAATAAAATTAATTTGTATTAGTAAATATTCAAGATTGAGGATTAATTGGAGAAATCTTTCTAAGATGATTATATTTCTAGATATTAGTGAGCCAAGATGAAGACGGTGAGATGGATTGACATGGTTATTGAGAAGATAGAATGAGATTAACTTGTACTCATAAATCATCAAAATTGAGGATAAATTGAGAGAGAGAGAGAGAGAGAGAGAGAGAGAGAGAGAGAGAGCTGTAGATGTTTATTCAGATTTATGAATTTTTTTATACTGTGTTTCTGATAAAAAAAAAAAGAATATTAAATCCTTTGCTAAATTGCATTGTGATCTATATTTACAGGAACAAGATCAGTATAGTGGAAGCAGGGGCACTGGAACCACTAATTAGTTTCTTAGAGTCCACAAATGGTAATCTGCAAGAGTATGCTACTGCTGCACTCTTTACCCTTTCTGCATCATCCGTCAACAAATCCAGGATGAGTGCCTCTGGAGCCATCCCCCTTCTCGTCAAGGTCCTTACGGATGGAAGCCAACAAGCTAAGATTGATGCTACCGTGACTCTCTACAATCTCTCCACCATCGTAGACAACATCAACACTATCCTCTCATTCCATCCTATCCCTCCTCTGGTTGCCTTTCTCAAGACCTGCAATAAGTCCTCCAAAACATCTGAAAAATGCTGTGCCCTCTTGGAATCATTGGTTGCTCTCGATGAAGGGAGAACTGCTTTGACATCTGAGGAAGGTGGGGTTCTTGCTGTGGTAGAAGTTCTGGAAGAAGGGTCTCCTCAGAGTCGAGAGCATGCAGTCGGAGCCCTATTGACGATGTGCGAGAGTGACCGAAGCAGATACAGAGAAGTTATACTGAAGGAAGGTGCTATTCCAGGTCTTCTTGAGCTCACTGTTCAAGGGACATTGAAGTCTCAAGCAAAAGCTCGTAGACTTTTGGAGTTATTGAGGGACTCTCCCTATCCAAGATCTGAACTACAAGCAGACACACTGGAGAATATTGTCAGCAACATCGTGTCTCAAATGGATGGTGATGAGCAGGCAGAGAAGGCAAAGAAGATGTTGGCTGAGATGGTTCAGATCAGCATGGAGAAGAGCTTGAGGCACTTGCAGAGAAGGGCCCTCATGTGCACTCCGACTGAGCTGCCGCTTGGTAAACGCCCATCGGAAGTATCATCAAAATAAGCCTACCTTTTCTATCGGTCTATCCTTCCTTCTCTTTGTACATATAAGTAACAGGTGATGATGAAGAAGAAAGAAAACATAAGGTAATAGAATGATGCCAGTCCAGGCAACTGATGGTGTCAGGTGACTGGTGAAGCTTGCTTACGTTGATCTTGGGTACCTTTGCTTCTACGTGGTATACTTGAAGTGTCAGTAGAAGAACATTAGCTTGTCTGTACAAAACACATATACTCTTTTGTTTCCTGATTTATTGTAAGTGCTACAATTCTCAAGTATCACAGTCTGCAGAATGCAGAGGCTACAAATAAAAGGTTTATCTTGTTTATATGGATCAACTGCTTTGATATGTTTCCATATATATATACGAACTTAAAGGTGGATTCCAGCTTTGCAAGGGCACAATTTGAGTCGGTGTGTCATAGATGCTCTTTCCTTTTTTAGAACAGTCGATCAATGGCGTTACGAGGTGTTTCACCTGAAGAGTTCTGACACCGGAGAATCTGGGGAAGGCTAATTGGGAAGCTGCTAAGAATTTGTTCTTGGGAAACGGGAGACACATCAAGCTTGTCTCCTTTAATCCCAGTCAAGAATTGTTGAGAGAATATTCTTAATTCATTGTTAATCCAACATATACTCTTAGATACAAGAATGATAAGACATAAAAAGGAAAAGAACATTAATCTAATACTTGTGCTCAATATATGCTAAGAAAAGAACGTTCACTGGATTATTTTATGTTTATTTGTATAATTATATTCATTTATTTATTATATATCCAGATCATAATTTTTTATAAGATTACATACATTATTTTTTTTTATTTTTTTAATTTAAATAAAAATATATATTCACTTTTAAATAAGTATTAAAAATGTTGGAATGAGTAAATTTATTACATAATATTTAATTATTTTTTAAAATAAAATTTTATAAAATAATATTTATGTTAATATATATTTAAAATATAATTTTTATCTATTGTTTATCAAACACTCAAAATATTCTATAACTTCACATTCACTTAAACCTTTTTCTTCAAATACACATTAAAAATAAGATAATTTACCCAAAAAACACATCAATAATAAGGTTTTACCAAATGATACCTCAATATTTGAATTTTAGTAAGGGACATACCTTTTTTATATTATGATTAGAATATCCCTCGTAAAATCAAATAATGATAGGCGATGTCCCTTGACCTTGTTTGACTTCAAGGTTTTTTGGGTTGAACCAATTTATTTGACATGAACTATATTAGATTGGTTAAAGAAATCTCATGATGGTCGTCGTCATTGCCAATAGGAACTCCGTTAGTGTTCTTGGCCTAACATAATAATGGAACGAGTCATAATTATCGCCTTTCCAGTAGGTCTCTATGGTCATAGTGGTCATTGCCAATGGGTAGGTAGTCGTCATCTCCTTCCCATTGAACATTGGTGGTCATGGTCGTCGTTGCCTTTTCGATGAGCATCGATGGTCGTGGTCATCATTGTCGCGATAGGAGGTCACTCTTGTCTTTCTGTTGAACCTCAATGGTCACGGTCGTTGTTGCTAGGGTAGGCCATTACAATCACCTCCCCGCCAACAAGAAGTCTACCTTCCCATCGGTGGCCATCATTGTGGTCAATGGTTAAGCCTAGGTGATTAGCAAGGCAATCGAGGCGTAGCCTAGCGTCGTCAATTGGTCATCGTCACTATCACTATCCATTGTCAATGAAACCTTGTAGAGCCTAAGTGATCAGTGGTTCATTATTGTAATCCCATTTAGTTTTATGTAGTCTCATTGAATCGCTACATGACTAGCCATTGTATTGTTGCATTTGCAATGTCACTAAAGCCTCAACATTATTTTTTGTAGTGTTGTTGTTGAGTGTTGGTTGCATCGGCCTATTGTTGAGTGCATCATCGAATCATTTACTATAATAACAAAAAATACATAGTATTAGATGAATACATCCTTGTAGCCTAATATTATTAATTTCAAATATCATTTAAGTATACGCTACTTATGATAAATATGATTATCTTCCGAAAGAAATATCCAATTTTCTAGATGAGATTGATAGTTTCAATGAAACACTATCTTTGTCGATACTAGAAGTAATTTTGGGAAGCAGTCATTCTATATCAGACCAAGTTGAAGGATCTACCTTTGCAAACCTTCAAGTATCAAATTTTGTTTTCGGAAGTGGTGATGAGTTATAAGAGCAAATTGAATGATCTTATTCTATACAACCTTAATTTGAAGTCTCTACCTCTGCATAATTTCAAACATCAAACTTTATCTTTGGAAATGATGATGAGTTACAAGGGCAACTTGAAGGATCTTTTTCTACACAACCTCAAACATATAAGTTTGATTTGAACAAGATATTTGTAATGGATAATAATAAAGATAGTTATGAGATATTTGAAGAAGAGTAGGTTGTCTAAAGAATACTAGAAGAAGTAGATCATAATATATTTGATGCCCATTATATTAACGATGAGCTTATCAAATTCAAATCAGATATGTATGAAAACCTCTTGAAGGATTGGATCATGGAAGACGATGACTTCAACCCTTTAACTTCCTATCTAGATAAAGATGAACTTGTCATCAATGACCTATACATTGGATATATAAAAATTTATAAAATATAGAATTTGTTCATATTATAATGTTAAATATAATAATTTATTTATGATATTTGACACATAAAGGTGAGCATTATGGATGAATATGTTTTGTAGGTATTTAAAGATATAATTTGTGGGTATTTAAAGCATTGTGTCATATATAATATAATAATTTCATATTATGTTTTGTAGGTATTTAAAGATATTTTAGAGTTTAAAAGAACTTTGCAAAAATATGCTATAAAGAGGAATTTTGAAATAAAAATTTAATATATCGAAGTTACAAAACTTAAAGCACAATATAAGGTGAGCATTGTGGATGGACAATAGTTACTCATGGCCATGATACATGTCGAATTACAAAGTCCATCAAGAAGCAATAATGCAATATGCCTAGAGGAAATTGAGATCATCCATCCTTCACTAGTAAGTTTATAGCTGAAGAAATTAATGAACAAGAATGAACAAGATTATTGCAGACATTCAAAACACATTTAGAGTAGTGGTTTTTTTTATAGAAAAACATCTACCATGTGAAATCACATTCAATGAAGTTCATAGAGACATGGATCTTATGGTGAATTAAAACCTTTCCTACAAAATGTTCATGACTATCAAATGATTGTTTGTTAAACTACTATAGAGTATTGACATTTTCGTTAGGTTTTTTGGGCATTCAGTGCATGTTTGTGTGGTTGTATTTGGAACATTCATCCAATTATCAACATATATGCAACACATTTATCTGAAAAGTATCATAGGGTTTTGATAATAGTGATTGTTGTTGATGGATCTAATAAGTTATTCTCTATTGTAATTAGAGTAGTAGAGATTGAGGGGAGAGAGTCATGGGAATAATTTTGTTTAGAGTTGAAAAAATGCATTGGTGCACAACGTGACATATGTGATAGAAATCCAAGAATTCTTGTAATAGTGAAAGAAATATTTCTAGAATTACATTACAATTACTACATGGTTTATCTCTCAAAAAATTTAGTAAGTGACATACGTGATAGGAAAATAGCTTGAGTTTTTTCGGTTGTCGCGAGGGCACCTACTGAGTTCAAGTTTAATAAATGTACGTGAAATTTGATAAAAGAAAATCTCAAAAGATATTATTGAATTTCAGAATTAGATAGAGAGAAGTAAGCTACTATATTTTTTTTAGGATGACAGTATGTAATGTTAATAATAAATGATTCTAAAAGAATGAATTTATTACTAAAAGATGTCTTTGGACTTCCAATAACATATTTAATTAAGATGACACAAAATAAAATTACCGAGTGATTTTATTCATATCATCAAACTGCCAATGCTATAATTTATACATTGACACACTCGACAGAGGAAGATATATTAAAGTCGAAAGATAGGATGAGATTTTATGTTGTTCATCCTCATTCGAGTAATTTTTTTCAAGTCCAAACATCTACCAAGATAGTTATAGTAGACTTAGAAAATAAGATCTATTCATGTTATCATTTTGATATATTTGGTATTTGATGCTCTCATGCAATAGCTACTGTTGGGCATCGGAATTTAAATCCATATGAGTATTGTGAGGATTACTTTGTGGTAGAATATTTGTAGAAGACTTATAATAACATCATCTTCTCAATAAAATAAAAAGCAAACAATCTTAGATTAAAAATGTTGATGATTAAATTATCTAAACAGTGTAAAACAGTCAGATAGAAGAAAGAAGACAAGGATAGATTCGAGATACAATAACGAGATCTCTAGAAAGTGTTTGAAGTATAAATAATTAGGTCACAATCAATGGTTACATAAATTTCCACTAGTTGTATGAGTCGACATTATTAAATATAAAGCAATGTGATATCTGTTAGGATCAAGAGCACTAAGAGGGGGGGGTGAATTAGTGCAGCGGAAATCTTTCGACGATTAAAACTTCGAAAGCTGCGTTCGTTCGATAAAAACGATTTCGATGTAAAAGCCGATTCTAAGATTACTTTAACTTAAGATTAAGCGAGATGATGTTAAAGTAGATCTATGAAGGCAGTTTGCAGTTTATGATGGAAATCAGAATGCAAGCGCAAACTGAAATGCGATGTTCGTACGATAAAACCAGTTTACGTCTAAATGCCGATTATGAAGATACTGAACTTTGAGATATGTTTTATAAATGCGCAGAAGGCAGTTTGCAGTTATGATTGAAGTCTAAATGTAAACGTAAACTGAAATATGATGCTCGTACGAAAAAGCCGATTTACGTCTAAACGTAGATTCGGAAAGCTCTGAACTTAGAAACTCGTTCGTTAAGAGCACAGAGGGCAGTAAGCTATTAAGGAGGTTTGCAGTAAAGATAAAATGCTCAAAGTAAATGCAAACCGAGATTTAGAGTGGTTTGGTCAATCTTGACCTACTCCACTTTTGGCTTCCTCCACCGACGAGGTCATCGACGTTAACTAGAGGCCTTCCTTCAATAGGCGAAGGCCAACCACCCTTTTACAGTTTCACTCCTTTTGACGGGCTTAGGAGACAACCCTTACAGAAATTTCTCTCCTCTCTTTA